ATGCTTGAGAAGCAGCTGGCTCTTCCCCACATTGCTTAGCTTGAAGGTTCACAGTCTATCCTGATTGGCTAGTCTAAGCAGTATGAAGGGAGGTCCTAAGGACTGTGGGGCAGGGTTGCTCAAAAGGGATCTGCGGGGGGTTGAGGAACTGAAAATCCTTGGCTGTGTTCCTAGAATTCAAGCCAAGCAGACATTTCTTGTCACAGTAACAACTGTAATCCTGGTGTAAGGCGTGGGGAAGCCTGGGGTGGACTAAAGATGGAGTCATTCTTTTATTCATATTTCATAGAAAAGACCATGTTGCTTACATTAGTATATTATTTTATAGCAAATTAATTTGCTGGACCTATTAGTTCTAACAGTTTATCTGTATTTTTCCTTGAGTGTGCTTTGTAGATAATACAGTAATTTCATCTTTAAAAAATCCTCTTTCTAATCTTTATTCTTCATTTGTCCTTCCTTATTGAATAATTTAGCACCTTTAATGTAGTGTTTGTTGAAATACTGATGGTATTTTCCTTTTTACTATCTTTAGAGGGAGTGATTCTAATATTTTACTATTAAATGTGGTATTTATTATAGGCTTTAATAGAGTCTGTTGCCAGCATCAGACTTAGTTTTGTCTTTATTAAGTTAATTGTCATGAACATGTAGATTAACAGCCAGACTAATAAACCAAAAACATATAAAATACATAAAACCATTATATTAAATTAAGGTATATTTTTGGATACAAAATAAGCCTATTTTTATAGGCTTTTAAAAGACGAATAGCAGTCTATTGTTAGTTTCCTAGTAATTTTTTAATTTATCAATTTTTTGTGTCTATTGAGGTGATTATATGATTTTGCTATTAACTTGATGTGATAAATTACATTAGGAGATACTCTAATGGTTTACTTTAATATTTTGTTAGATTTAGGTTGCTAGTTTTTTTAATGAGTAGGATAAAATTCGTATTGTGCAAATCAAACAAAACAATTATATGTACATGTATAGAATAGCATTTTAACTAGTAAAACAAGGAAGTGAATGAGAAGCATAATATTGAGGCTTTGATTTCTTCTAAGAAGAGGAAAATTCTAATTGCAAATGATACATCATTCTCAGACTTGATGGGTAAAGCTTTGTTTTTATACTAATTAGTGAGTTAATTTTTTAAAATTATTTTTACTTTAGTTTTCATGATACTCATAAACTTTTCAAACCATTATTTAATTCAAACAATTAAACTTTTCAAAAAATTAAAAGGTAAAGTACATAGTGGTCTAGTCTGAAAATAGAATTGTACACTGAACAAGCAGCTCTTTTTTTTTTTTTGCAGAACCGGGGATTGAACTCAGATCCTTGAGTTTGCCAGTCAAGCGTTTATCCTACTGAGCCATTTCCCCAGCCCCTAGCAGCTCATTTTTAATAAATGAGGCAAGGAAACATAATTTTCCAGACTCTTTTCTCTTAGATAGTACATGACCACTATCAGTCAACATGGTGGTTTTGTGCAAATTAAGAATTTGCACCTGGGCCGGGGAGATAGCTCAGTAGAATAAGCACTTGCCTGGCAAGTGCAAGGTCCTGAGTTCAATCCCCGTACAAAAAAAAAAAGAATTTGCACCCTTTCCTGTGGGAAGATACAGCTTAGCGCTGGTATAGAACTTGACTAAATTTTCCCTCTGTATTTTGCTAGTTTTTACTTATAATTTTTATTTCAGTGATTAAAGTTATACAGGCCTTGTGAGGTTTTTTTCCCTCATACTATTTTTGTACCAAGATTACAGTAATATCCTGAAGGAATTTATAATGTATCCTTATTAATGTATCATAATTTATAATGATTTCTAGTGTCTGGAACAGTTTATAGAAAATAGGATTGTCAGATCCTTAGACTGAATAGCTGGGTGTGGTAGTGCATACTTGTAGTCCCAGCACTTAGGAGGCTTAGGCAGGAGGATCGTTGGGAGTTTGAAGCCAGCCTGGACTACAAAGTGAGGTGAGCTCAAGGCCAACTGCATAGTACGAGTCTGTCTCAAAAAGACGACAAAAAAAAAAAAAAAAAAAGGCTGCAATAAAACTCACCTGTAAAGCTGTCTGGACTTATATCCTTTATAAGTATTTTAAATTACTTATTTAATTT